CAGCAACGAGTACCCTAATAGAGTGTGTAAGCTTGAGAAATCCATCTATGGATTAAAGCAAGCACCTCGCAGATGGAATCTTTGCTTTGATGAAAAGGTCAAGGACTTTGGCTTTTCTAGGAGTGAAGATGAATCTTGTGTGTATGTCAAGGCTAGTGGCAGTATAGTTAGCTTTTTGGTATTGTATGTGGATGACATACTACTCATAGGAAACGACATTCCAACCCTACATGAAGTAAAGTCCTGGCTTGGGAAGTGTTTCGCTATGAAGGACCTTGGTGAAGCTGCCTATATTTTAGGGATAAGGATCTTGAGAGATCGGAGTAAAAGACTAATTGGACTTAGTCAGAGTACCTACTTGGATAAGGTGCTGAAAAGATTCAGCATGCAGGACTCCATGAAAGGAGAGTTACCCATCCAGAGTAACGCCAAATTGAGTAAGACACAAAGCCCTAGCACTGAGGCTGAGATAGCAGAAATGAGTCGAATACCTTATGCTTCGGCTGTAGGTTCGATCATGTATGCTATGACGTGTACTCGACCTGATGTAGCCTTTGCCTTGAGCATGGTTAGCAGGTTTCAAGGGAACCCTGGCAAGGCACACTGGACTACGGTAAAGAATATTCTCAAGTACCTACGAAGGACTAAGGACTGGGTCCTTACCCTCGGTGGGAGTGATGACTTGAGAGTTGTAGGGTATAGTGATGCTAGCTTTCAGACTGATAGGGATAATTTCCGCTCTCAGTCAGGCTGGGTCTTTACCCTAAATGGAGGAGCAATTTCTTGGAAGAGTTCCAAGCAAGAGACAGTGGCAGATTCTACTTGTGAATCAGAGTATATTGCAGCGAGCGAGGCGGCAAAGGAGGCTATATGGCTAAAGAACTTCATCGGAGACCTTGGAGTTGTACCAACTATTAAAGAGCCAATGGAAATTTTCTGTGATAGTGAAAACGTTGTTGCCTTAACCAAGGAACCAAGGGATCACGGGAGATCCAGACACATCGACAGAAAATACCATTTTATTAGACATCGAATAGAAGAAGGAATCCTCGTGGCAAAGAGGGTATCATCGGATGAGAATCCAGCAGATCCCCTCATGAAGGGACTGACTCGGGTTAAGCATCTCCAGCATGCTCGGAGCATAGGGCTGAAGGATGATATTAGATTTAGTAGTTAGATAACCTCGAAATTAGTAAAGTGTAATTGACATTAGATGATGAATAAAAGGTGTTTTATTTATGAGTAAAGTGTTGCTATCTATTGTTAATCGTTTACTATATTTCTTTTGCATGTTTTGACTTCCAGAATAATTTTGTTTGGTATAACATATTATTCAAACCTCCACAGTCGGTCATATGTCGGAAGTAGGTATGAATAAAGACTGTCATGATTGGTTGCAGAGGTCTAAGGTGTTAGACAAGGCTACAACAATCATGGTGCTCATAAGTTCTGAGCATTGGACTCAACCCACGCTTACTGGAATCACTTCATGGAATTCTATCTCGAGTGATCGTGAGACGGTAATATTATATAAGTCTTCAAACCTAGAGATATGATTTGTTACTTACAAGTTGGTTATGCATTGATTGTAAGAAAACGCATTGGTAACTCGATGTTATAAATCGTGCTCTTGTGTGTAATTCAATGAGTGGTAGAACAAACATATGAGTCGAAGTTTATCTGTTCCTTCTTGGATTAGAAGCTGATATCTGGGCCCCTCGATGATTTTGTTTTGACCCATGTACCGGGCCCGGTCAGAACTAAGTTGATGTGTTCAATTAAGTTCTTTGTCAAACAAATCGGAAATCGGGAAATAAACTGTTGGACAATAAGTAAGACATTGTTCCATGTATTTGTCCGACTGATATCTAGAACAGAGGATTATATGATCACTTATCTTAAATGGCGTACCATCATCTTCTCAGTTCCGAGAAACCTTGAAAAGAGATACGATTGCTGATCGGTTCCTAAAGTCATACTTGCAGTAATAATTATTAGACTTATCCAAGTGGGAGACTGTTGGATAAGGTGTCTAAGTCCATAACAATTTCTGGTATGTACTTGACCCGACCCGGCATGGTCCATTTGGGTTGCATGGCACCATGCAATTGGATAGACTAAATGAGAGAAATAACACTTGGAGATTATTAATATATTATAAGTTCTAATATATTAATAATATTATTTGATTAGTTTGATCAAGAATTAATTTAGAATTAATTAAGTGATCAAAAGATAACTAATTAAATATATGGGTTGATTTTGTAAATCGTCGATATCTTGTATAGTGGGCTAAGAGGCTCCATGGATTATCAAGTTGGGTTTCACCCATAGGATGCTCCATGGATGCTCCATGGGAGTTACAAACCCATGGGTCATGGAAATGAAGAGTCATGACACATTAGGGTTTACATGGTGTAACCCTAGATGTGTCAACACTATATAAGGATCTCATTCTCCACCAAAATCGGTTACACTAAGGAAACAAGAGGGCTTGGCCGATTTCAAGAAGTGTGTATTCTTTCATAAGTTTTTCCAAGAGCATTTGGTGTTGTGTGAAGCATTTGAGGCATCACACTTGGGGTGCTAGGCTCATAAGGTTTCAAGGAACACAAGCAACAATAAGGTAAGTTATTCTATCTATCATTCAAGTTAAAATTGTTCCCCATGTATGCTAGATAGGAATATAGCCTTGGAATTCAACTTTGCATGATAATTAGACAAACATAGATCCAAGGTTATTAGGGTTGCATGTACACTTAGGAAGTGTTAGAATGCTCAAAAACCATCAAAAGTAACCACTACCGTAGCAGCAGCCATGACCCATATCAATGCGAGTGACACTACTCGGGCGGATAGTGGCGTCAGCCTACTAATCATGGAGATAGTCACGTACACCCGATAGAGTGTTCATATAAAGACTTCATGAATGTTAAACCCAAATTTTTGATGGCACCGGAGGTGGAATAGCTTTAACACGCTTGTTTGAGAAGACCGAATCAATATTTGTAATTAGTGTGTGTTGCAAAGCCAACAAAGTAAAGTTTGCAACATGTACTTATTGGGTTTTGAGCACTATAACACTCCTATGGTGCACATGCAACCCTAGATGCTTTGGATCTAAGTTTTCTCTATTATACATGCAATATTGTTTCCAAATCATGAAGCCTAAACTAGCATACAAAATTTTGAGATATAGAACATAAAACCAAAATAGATGAATACCTCTTAGTGTAGCTTAGAGTTCTTGGCCTTCAAAAGCTTTAGCACTTCAAATGTGATGCCTCTAATGTGTCACAAACACCAAGTGCAAAAGGAGGCTTATGAGAAGTGGCTAGGTAGCTCAAAATCGGTTATGACTCTTCTTAGAATGCATAGGGGGCCGATTTTGGTGATTATGGGGTTGCTTTTATAGTGTGGCAATTCTAGAGTTACATCCATTCAAACCCTAATTCACATGACCCTTCATATTTCTTAGGTTACATGGGTTAAACTTTTATGGACTATCATATAAGTTTAGCCCACCCTAATCAACCATGGATCATTAGCCCAACTATAAGTATTACTAATTTACATAATCAGTCCCCGTATATTTAATCAGTCTCTTTTGATCACTAAACTAATTCCAAATTAATTGCAGATCAATACTAATTAACTAATATGATTTCTCAATTAATATATTATACTTATAATATATTAATAAACCACAAACAAACTCTTCTAAAAAAAGTCCATCCTATCAAATTGCTTTGGTGAAGGCAACCCAAAAGGACCATGCTACAATTGGGTCAAGTAAATACCAATTATACTTATGAACTTAGATACCTAATCCAACACTCTCCCACTTGGATAAGTCTAATAACTATAATCGGCAATGCATCTTCCAAATCCGATTAGCAATCGTAGCTTTCAAAAGCCACTGTCAAAGTCTGACCTAGTCAGTGACGCATCCTTTAGATATGGGATTGTATAATCCTATGTTCTACAAGATATCGTGTGGACAAATACATGGAACATAATCATACTCATTGTCCAACAGTTTGTTTCCTGATTTTCGATTTGCTTAACATAGAACTTAATTGAACACATCAATTGAGTCCTGACCGGGCCCGACACATAAGCCAAAAAAAATCATCGAGGGGACCAAGATATCGCCTTTAATCCTCCTATGATAAAAGGAACAGATAAACTTCTAATTATATGCTTGTACTAACTACTCGTTAAATCATGCACACCGATACGTTTTATAACCTCAAGTTACTGAAGCATTTTCATACCATTAATGCACAACCAACTCGTGCTCAACAACTCATATATATTGGTTTGAAGATTATATGATATTATCGTCTCACAATTACTCATGATAAATTCCATGAAGTGATTCATGTGAGCGTGAGTGTAATCCAATACTTCAATCTTATTTCATGAGCACTCGTGAATATTGTAGCAAACTTTTTCTATGTCTAACATCTTAGACAATCTACAAGCTAATTCATGACAGTCTAGCCTCATAACTTACATCCAAATTATGATCGACTGTGGATAGTTTGAATAATCTTATTATTCCAGAAGTCAAAACATGCAAAAGTAAAACAATAGTAAATAATTGACACAAGATAGTAGCTTAATTTATAAATAAAACTCCTTTTATTCAATCATCAAATATCAATTACAGTTTAGCTATTACATGTTTCTAAATATCTATCTAATCAGTAAAACTATATTGTCCTTTAGCCCAATGCCCCTTGCATGCTACAAGTGCTTAACACTAGTCAGTCCCTTCGAATGACACAACTGGTTCTAGCCAATATTGACTTGGTAAATCCAGGGCTTCATTCTGAATTCGCTACAGAGTCCACTCTAGTGTGACCTGAGCTTCTCTTTCTACTTTATCTTTCACTTCAGCCTCACAGACTATCCTTTGATGCTAATCCATTTCAGCTTCATGTGCTTTTCTTCTTTTGAGCTCGTTTCTATTAGCCTCTTTGTCTTCGTTGTGGTCAATAATAGGTTCTTCGGAGAAAGTTTTTTTCTTTGCCTTTAGGATCAGATTCACCTTTGATAACGGGATTGGCTGAAGGCTTATGGTCATCCTTATTGGATTGTTCTCCCCTTTGTTTCGGAATGTTGTTGGATTTCGGAACACCCTCCAAACGATGAAGCATGGAGAATACGGGCCATAGTTTTTCATCAATATGTTTCTTCACCGTGATTGTAATCATTGAGTCCCTAGTCTTAGTGATATCTAAAAGCATGACAGTAACGTCTACGATATAGCTTTTCATAACTGCTTTCTCGGATAACAAATCATTGGCTTGTTTCTCAGCATTCTCAAGTTTGATGGTCAGGACATTCACCTTTTTATTCTTTACTGCAAGAGCATCCACTATTTTGCTTTCCATTGCAAGACCATATTGAAGATTAAATATTTGTGAGGAGATGGATGATTTGAGGTCAACATGGTCAGATTTAAGACCAATGCGAACCTCTTGAAGTTTCGCCTTCTCAGTTTTAAGGGAGGAGCCCATGGTAGAAATGACTTCATTTGCCTTTGCTATGTTTCACTCAAAAGAGCTCTGAAATTTCTCCATGAATGCAGTGGCATCAGTAATTAGTTAATCGACTTTTTTGGTTGTGTTAAAAATGAATTCATCTACCGCCTGGTTCATATTCTCAAGGTTGGCGGAGTGCACTTTGGTAAATGTCTCAAAGAGGGAAATGATTGTTTCTTGAGAATAATCATTAGTGGATGATGCCTTCAAAGCGTTAAGCGAGGAGTCTAGTTTTTCGTGTATGGCCTTGAGTTGCCATCCCGTGACGGCTGAAAACCGCTCGATCTAATACTCGAAGTTCAGGTTGTACACCGCTAAGCCGAAACTTCGAAAAATCATAACTTCCTCATAAGGAGTCATATTTGGGTATTCTTTTTATGGACACTCTCAAGTTAACATATTCTACGACTTTCATTTAGATTACTAAGGCTAAAAGTCAGATTTGGGCCTTGAGTTGCATCTCGTGATGGGAGCATCGTCATCACTTTCAGTCTTGATGTTGAATGGACTGTAGGTGATTCCTGTGAAGTATACCTCATGATCACCATATATCATATCAGGGTCATTTTTGCGAAGAGGGGAAATGGGTGGTGAGATATGAGCTATTGTGAAACCTGAAGCTCTTGTCCCCACATCAGATGCGTTAACAGAAACAGGAGGCTCAACAGTTGTTGAAGGTGTGGTGTTGGAATCAGTGAAAATTGATGTTGGTTACGAAACACCTAATAAGACAGGTGGGAATGGATCAATATTGATTGGTGTGGAAACATTGGTAGTGGGGGAGGGAACAGAGAAAATCTCAACAAAATCAGTGGAGATTGGAACTGAGACAGGAAGCGGAACAGTTACCTCAGGATTTGTTGGAATTGGCTGCGAAACCTCAGGTTGTGAAGTTTTTGCAGTGTCTTTGTTTTGTATAGGCTCATCTGCTTCAACACGAACATCTAATTGACTGTCAGAGTGTGGATGTTCGCTTTCACTTGGAGTAGGAGATCTGGGCTTGCGAGCTGCCTTTTTTATCTTTCGCTTCTTTGTTGGAATATGAGCTGGAACAGATGAGCCAGTTTGCACCTTTCATTTCTTGGGGGTTTTTGCAGGCTCGTATGGACCCTCTTTAGCCCCCTTTCTTTGGTTTATTGGCTTTAGCAATAATCGATTGCATCTCAGGAGTTAATGGACGAAAACCTGAAGCAGGAATTAACTAGTAGCCTTCAAGGATCTTGCTAGCAGCAGGCACATCATGAAGCATGGCTTCCAGAATCGAACCAACAAATGAAAATTTGGATTTATCAGCAAGAATGATGCCTATATTATGAAAGGTTGAAATACAGGCCATCAATGAATCTTGCATAACTTGAATTTGAAGCTTGTCGATTTCCCGTTGATTAATGATAGTCCAAAAACATGCACATGAAATTTCCCTATGACAGGTAGTAGAAATGGTGCTTTGAGTAACTTTTGCCCAAAGAACAACACCAAAATTATTGTTGAGCCCTATGTAAATCCCATAGATGATCGCCATAAAAAGCTTGTTGGCGCAATCCGATCTCGTGACCCGTTTAGAGAAAGCCTTCAATAATAGGGTAAAGAGCCCATTCCACTGTGGCGACAAGTTAGGTTTTCTGAACATAGAAACAACGGTTAGGGTTTCCTTGTACCCCATTTGATAGAACATATCTAATAGGGCTGAGTTAGTGATAGATTCAGGATCAATCATGTAATATGTATGAGCACACCCTAAGATTGAGCAAAAGCGAGATTTGGTGATGGAGGTGGTTCTGTTGTGAACTTAAAAAGTGATTCTCTGTTCTTCCTTGAGATACCATGCAAAAGAGTAAGCTTTTGACAGAAGAGACATTGGAACGCTTTCCATCTTAGTTAGATCAGTAATTAGTAGAGAGTACTTCAGGAATTCAACAATAGCAAGAAGATAACTATCATACTTATAAGGATCAAGATCGATCACCAAGTTTTTATTGGGCTTGATGGCAAGAAGCAATGACTGCCCTGATTGTTCTTGGAAAGAAGGAGTTTCATAGGATCCTGCCATTGATGATATCTTGAAGAAGAAGATGATGAATAGTCAAGAGCTTTTTGATTGCTGAAATTCTTTGAGGTTATTTGTGAGTGGTGAAGAGAGATGTAGCATTGAAAGCCCTTTATACCGTTTGTTTTGTTAGGGAAATCCGGAGAGATATTGTATCCGGTACTGAAAAGCCGCTTGCAAAAGCGTGACTTGACAACTTTTATGTCAGAAACGCGTGTTATGCGGTAGTAAAGTAGACGTCCATTCAAATTTTCACGCACCCATTTGAATTCCTATCCATAAGAAATTACCGCGTCAGCTTCACCCTTTCGCAATTAAGTTGCGTTCCACCTGTCGCATATAGATACGAACTTTCGCTTTTAAGAAAACTTGAGTTCAACTGTTAAAATGAAAATAAGTGTGAGTACCACGAACCAGGCTCTTTGAAAATCACAAAGGTCTTCGTGCGAGAGTGTATCAATGATAAAGAAATAAAGCAAGACATATATGTGGGATTTTAGTGATGTATATTTTAAGACATGAAATAGTGGATCCCAGGCAAAGATCTCTTCCTTCTAAGTCAAGAGAGACTAAGATGTGTCTGTGTGGTTCCCCGTTGAATTACGATCAGCTGTATGATAAGAAAAATGAAAGGCATATTTTCTTTAGGGTTACAGGGTGGCTTTATCTCCAAATAAACTTTGAAACTTGATATAAGTACGAACATTCGGATGAAGTACTCGTGTGACTAGTGTAGTTAGTTTAACGAGTAGCTTTGGAATTATTTTAGTGACTTGGATAGATGCAAAAATCTCAAGAAATAATAATAAATAGATCTTTTGGGTAGAAATGTGTTAGGTCTTAGAACATTTAATTAAGATCTTGCAAAAGTAAAAGATATTTCTTGGTACAATCCACGAAAGTGGATTTTCGTTAATTCCTTGGTGAAAAATCTAGAACATTTGATGGTTCACAGTTAATTCATAAAAGTGTGTTGAATTTTCGGTTTCCGTCAGTTCATGGTTGAATGAAACTAAGATCATTAACACAGATGTTGTTTAATCATAAACCTCAGTGGTAATTTCTGAGAGTCTCAAGGGTTACGATCATGATTGCGTAAGTGATGGAGAAATGTGGAGATGGTTCCAAAGAAGCAAATGTACCTCTGTTATGCGAAAGTGACCAAGCAGACAACTCTTAACTCAAAGTGAGAAGAGTAAGGTAGCTCGTGACTTATGTGAATTTGTAGTATGATTGGGAAGAAACGATTGGTAGAATCGATTCATTCTGGCTTCAACATAGAGCCGTTGACGCTTCAGACAACATGCAACAACATGCTTCTAGGGACACTTAGCTAATACATAGGTAAAGAGATTTATACCTGCCCCATCATGTGAACTTGAAACTGATTACGATGTGTTCCTTGAAGAGATTCTCAATTATCTAATAATTTTGATATTTTATATTTTTGTGAAAATAAAAGAAAAAAAATAAACACAAAGAAAATATTTTGTATTTTTGTTTTTCTGAAAAAGAGATAAAACAGAAAGAAATAAAATAATTTTGAATTTTGGGATTTTATGAAAAAAAAAAATAATAATTCAAATGAAACTATGATAAAAGATAATATACATAACATAAAAAAGGATACAGGATGATCCGGACCACGAATGAACAGTGGACTGCGAGTCACTGCGAGCATTCGACCCTATTCACAGTGTCAAAGTAGATTGCGAATTACTACGAGCGTTCGTACCGATTCGTGACAATAAATTTATGAATGAGAAAGTGGTTTCGGAAGAGATTCAACTTCCAACATTGCTAGGCCATGAAGAATTCTATTGAAGGTTGTTTCTGTTAAGGCTTTCGTGAATATGTAAGCTAATTGATCAGCGGGTCACACGAAATGTATTTTAACATTGTCATCTTCCACACGATCCTTTGTCATCTTCCACATGATCCTTCAGAAAATGATACAATAATGCTATGTGTTTCGTCTTTGAGTGTTGCACTGGTTTGTGATAAATGTGAATGACACTTCAGAGTCACAATATAATGGGATTCGTTTCATATTCAGGACATAGTCACGAAGTTGACTTTGAATCCATATGAACTGGGAAGTGCATGAGGCAGAAACAATATATTCAGCCTCAGATGTTGACAAGGAAACACAGGTTTGCTTTTTGGATTGCCAACTGACAAGTTTGCCATCAAGAAATTGACATCCTCCAGTTGTACTCTTTCTATCTAACCCGCATCCTCCAAGATTAGCATCCAAAAATGCTTGCACAAAGAAACCAGATTTCTATGGGTACCATATTCCAAGCGAGGACGTTCATTTTAGATACCATAATATGTTCTTGACAGCCGTCATGTGAGGTTCTCGAGGATTCGCTTGAAACCTAGCACAATAGCAAATGAAAAACATGAAATCTGGTCGAATAGCGGTTAGATACATTAAAGAACCTATCATGTGATGATAGAGTGCCATGTCTACAGCCGATTTATCTACAGAAGGAGTAGGTTTCGTTCCAAATGCAATGGGAACTTTCACCTTTGAGTCACTTACCATCCCAAACTTAGCAAACAAATTCTTTGTGTAAGATTCCTGATTAATAAAGATACCTTCCTGACTCTGTCTAATGTTTAATCTAGGGAAAACATTAATTAGATCCATGGAGCTCATCTCAAATTTCGTTTCCATTGACTTTTAGAAGTCAACTATTAAGCTTGGATTGGTTGAACCGAAGATAATATCATCAACATAGATTTCGACAATCATTAAGTGGTCAACCTCTTTCTTATGAAAGAAGGTTGGGTCAACCGAACCTTATTTAAATTTAGACATTTTCATGAAGCGAGTAAGAGTTTCGTACCGCGATCTTGGAGCTTGCTTCAGGCCATAAACTGCTTTGTCCAGGATGTAACAATGATTAGGATACTTCTCGTT